ACAGATGAAAAAAGTTGCATAGGGTGTGGTCTGGGGTAGACCACACCTTTTGGTGGACCTTCCCTTTTCTCCCCTCTCTTCCTTCTTCCGGGGTTCAGCTGGAACAGCCTTTGGACTTGCTTTTAAATCTAAAACAGTTAAACATTTAACTAAAAGGTTGGATTGGTTAGAAGCATGGAATACTAGAGACAGATTCCACTCTTAGGTAACCATTTGCTGTTAGTTTTTATGAATTAATTTACAATGATTATTGGCATCTCCTCTCCACACTATTTGTTTTGAGCATTTATGGCTGCATTTTATTCACTGCTTGTATAACTGTTTATGTAGTAAGTGGCTTTATCTTTCATTGCACATACTGGTTCTGAGCAAAGTGCTCACAGCACATTTATTAATTGTGCAGAAAAACAGGTTGCTTACCTAGAACAAATTTAGAGTCCAGTGGCACCTTTAAGACCAATAAAGTTTTATTCAAAGTATGAGTTTTCATGTGCATGCACACTTTTTCAAATATTTTTCAAATGCTTACCTGTAACTGTTGTTCTTCAAGTGATCATCTGCACATTCATATTTATGGTGTTTGCACCTGTTTGCACCCTGATTTGGACAATTCTAGATTTGCATTTATTTAATGATATCCCACTTTTCTTCCCAATGGGGCCTTGAAGCAACTTAGAACATCATTCGCCCCACCTCCATTTTTTCACAACAACCACCCCATGAGGTAGGTTAGGTTAAGAGAATGTGACTGGCCGAAGGTCACCCAGCAAGCTTTCATGGCAGAAATGGGGATTTAATCGGGGGTCTTCCAGAATCCTAGTTTGACACTTGATCTACTATACCACACTAGCTTTTAAGTGTGGAAACTCCACTCCCTTCAGAGGTGGAGCTCAGACTGCACATGCCCAAGAGGACAGAGACAAGCCTTGCCACTTAGTTCTCTTTAGTTCACCATAGTAACTTTCCATATTGCAGGTCTGCACAGGCACAAAGCCAGCCAATGCAATAATCAGTGACCACAAAGAAATAACTCAGTGTTGCACTTCAGTGAACATTCTAGTCTGTTTCACTGTTCTTCAATGTGTGGGCCACTGGGACAAAATAGAACCTGCATTTAGATCCTCTGACTAACCCTCAGGATCAGTTTTTCAAGGGGTGCTGGGAGCTTTAAGGGGGAAGGGAGCCGAGAAGAGTACTTGTGCAGGCATAGAACTCATAGTGCTGGTTCACTAGCCTTCTGGTTCACTAGTTCCTTACATGCCTTTTGGAAGACGCATGGTGACATTGCATGGCGATGCTCTAGTTTTTTGGCAAAACTCTATGGTTTGAGCCCAAGTTTGCCGACATTGCATGGCGATGCTCTAGTTTTTGGGCAAAACTCTATGGTTTGAGCCCAAGTTTGCCATACAGTTTTGCCACAAAACAAGTCATCATGCAATGTGATGACGTCACTTCTGGGTGACATCATCACATCGTGTTCCAGGGCATTTGTGGATGGGGCTGTCAGACCAAAATCTTTTCAGAGCTGAACAGGTTGCATTCTGTGAGGGCAAATCAACACTAGACCACTGTATAACCCTTGCCCACTTGGCAGGGAAGTATAGTGGTGCTGGGGGGAGGGGGAATAATTTACTGCCTTTCTAGACTCAAAAGGGACTTTTGACTCGATACCTAGGAACCTTTCGTGGGATAAGCTGCACCAGTCCCGTAGCTAACAACTTTTTGCTTGTGGGGCCGGCCATTATATGTCTGTGCGGAGCTGCTACACCACACTTATACTTCTAAGTAATAACTAATAAATGAATAATACAAGTGCCTTAAAAATGGCCAGAGTTATACAGTTTTTAAAAATCAGTGGAAATAGACCCCCCCCCCCCTTTTTAAAAAAACCAAAATGATTAGTATCATATTAGCTTTCCAATTCCATCTGGAGATGCCCAGAACTGAAACAAGAACCAGCCCGCCCAAAGGACACCCTCCCCAACAGTAAAATAACAACAAAAGGGATGTAGTAAAATGAATGACAGGATTGCCCATTGGAAACAATGGGAGAGATTTGAAGGCCCATTGGAAATAATGGGAACCAGGAGTGTCAATTGATTTGCATGGGTTCCATTGAAATACATTACAGCACAAGAAAAGTTGCAAAGAAAATGTGGAACGGATTTTCCATTAAGATCTCTGGAATGACAGCCCCCAGAGTGGAATGACAGCCCCTGGGAATAGAATCTGTATGCTGAGACTGGACCTGTCAGGTCAGTCCAGCACACAGATTCTGTTCCCAGGAGCTGTCATTCCAGTGCCAGAATATTCCTGCTATTCCCAGGGGCTGTCATTCCACTCTGGGGGCTGTCATTCTAGTTCCAGAACTACACCCAGGGGCTATTATTCCACTCTGGGAGCTGTCATTCCAGACACCTTAACAGAAAATCAATTCTGCATTTTCTGTGCAACTCCTCTTTTGCTGTAATGTATTCCAAAGGAGCCCAAGCCCCCTACCCTCCAAGCCCAAATAAATATAGCAACTTCCACAAGAACAACAACTTTTGTGTCTTTAGTACACCCCCCCCCAGCCGATCTCACCCTATAATCTGGAGTCCTGCGTGTGGGAGACGGGGAGGTGGTAGAAATGTGGCATAGGCACTGTGGCTCAGCCCCACCAGAGGATTACTAGACGGAGTGGCGAGAGGTGCACAACAACACCGTGTGCACAACAACACCGGTGTGTCCAAGTAAGGAAGTCAAGGAGGAAGCCAGGCTGCTGGTGACGATGACATTGGAGGAGGAGGAGGACGGAGGAGGGGAACACTTGCAGCCAGGAAGGAGGTGCTGGCCAGGTGAGGCTCAGGCAGGCAGGCAGGCTGTAAGTGCTCTCCTCTCTGCATGCTGCTGCAGCTGCTCTCAGAGTGGTTGTGGTCAGTTGGAGGAGGAAAATTGCATGGTGTGGCAGGCTTAACTTGTACCTGGTGGGCTCTATGCCAGCGTTGTGTAGAGCCCACTCTTGGACTGCCCCAACCAATGAAGATTTGCTACCTGCCCTCCTGGTGCCCACCGCCCTCCCCCTCCCTTTGCAGCAGCACAAGTTTGGACTCGGAGGCTGCTCTGGGCATGTTCCAAGATGAGAGCCTGCCTGTCGTCAGTCTACCAAGTGCCGATGTGATCGCCCACTGTTTCAAGAGCTGCCGCTCACCTTGGCCCTGTCCCCACCCACTGGCACCCGCCGCCCTCTCTTCACAGCCACACTGCTTCAGAGGCTGCTTGGGGCGTGCTCCAGGAGAGCCTGTTGCTTGCCCTCTATCTGCCACGAGTGGGGGAGGGAGCCCAGTGGGGAGGGGGCTCGTAAAAATGCTAGGGGGCGGGCCCTTTGGGCCCCACATTAGCTACGGGCCTGAGCTGCACACGATGGGAATAGAAAAATGGCTACTTTTTCTGATTTGGAAATTACATTCCTCCACCAGCTGTCGTTAAACACGGGAACTTAGGTCTGTTAACATCTAAGATCCCCATTGCATCTTGTCTCCCTATTTTTGAATGACTGAGATTCTACCTTATGCACGGTTGATGGCCACTTTCCTAAACTGGGCCCTCAAGCACTCCCCTTACTATTGTATGCGGATGACACCATTGTATTATCCCACACTTACAAAAGTCTCAAGCGCCTCCTACTTACTTTTACATTCTACTGTGAGACCAGCCTGCTGTTTTTGAGGTCTTGGAGGTGCCTTAATTGGCACATTAATGGCAAGGCAATCCAATAGAGCAAGTTAAATATTTTAAATACTTTGGAGTCTTCTTCCAGTATAACAACAACTGGACAGCTCAGAGGAAACAAGTATTAAATTTTGCCAAAAGTAATCTGTCCACAATGGCTAGGGTTTTTATGTGAAGGGTAACCAATTTGTCCCCGTGGCCATGAGAGTTTTCAGTGCCAAAGTTGTATCCCAATTACTTTAAGGTATCCCTAAATGGATCAACTCATTTAATTCACATGTTGAGCAGATCCAGGCCATGTCTTTGTATACTTGGGGTCCCAAACTGCACAAGTTATGTCGCCCTGTGCCCAGAGACAGGGCAGAGTCTTGTTACGACTAGAGTTTGGCTCTTGACACTGAAATTTTGGCTATGCCTCCATTAAAGGGCAGGGCCTAGTAGTTATATCTCCCTGATGCTGTTGGATTCATTTTCATCTAACTGGCTTCATTCAATCTCAAGGAAAATCCAGTCAATTGGTATATCTCTGGACTCTCATTTTATGTTATATAAACTTCAAGTATTTAGATCTCTGAAACAGAGACTCCTCGACACTGAGAAACAAACCCTCTGGACTCTTGCAGGTAAAACTTGTTCCCCTCTACAATTTACTATAACACCAAGACCAGAGCTTCCAGCTGCCTATTGTACACAGCTTGCAGCCCCACAATTACATTGTACCTTTATGCTTGCATGATTCAATGTCTTCCTGTCAGCGGTTCTTCATGGAAGATTTGCAAATCTGCCTTACCATGAAAGAATCTGCCCATGCAGTAGCAGGGAACCAGAATCATTTGCTCATATTTTCTTTTGATGTGAATTTTATGTCAAAATACAGGATGTCTTAATTAGCCCTAAATTGGATAACACGCATAGCCTCCCAGAAGTTAGGCTTGTTTTCCTTCTCTTATCGGATCAGTGTTCCCATATTACCCTCTCAGCACCAAGGTTTCTTCTGATTGCTATGAGAATCAGGAAATATAAGATTAAAGTTCTGTAGAGACGACTGATCTTTTATTGTACTCCATATATTTAAATACTGGTTTTGTTTGATTTTAATTGATACCAATAAAGGTAGAGTTTTGCCAAAAAGCTTCTGGGTGACATCTTCATGTCATGTTCTGGGGCATTTGTTGGTGGGGTTCCCCCCCACTTGCCAGCTGTCTGGTGGTGGGGAGAAGCCCCAAAAAGTGGGGAAACCCTTACCCGGGCTGGGGGGCTGGCAACCCTAGGGAGTTGGAGCAACTAACCTGTGTGATTCGGACGACACTATCACAACTCGTGCAGGAGCTGAGCGGCAGAGAACATCTTTGAGGAGCTGAATGAGATAAAAATGCCCCAGATGATTGGTCTGGAAGATGGACTCCAGGCCATCTTCAGTCAATTGCCAATTAGCACCAAATATACCAGCATTGCAGATCAGCACATGGAGAGGTCTATAAAAATTAAAAAATAAAATGTTATTGACGTAATACCACATAGCCAATATCAGTGTGAAGGTTCATGAAATTTGTAGACTATCTTCTAAATTGTACCTGGAGTTGTTCTCTTAACCCCATTAGCTCTCATATCATGCTCTGCTTTGTTCTATAGTAGGGGGGGATCTTTCTCTCCCCCCCATTAGAAACAGTTTCTCCTATTGATTCATACAATAGATGGCGAGTTTAAATGGCAAATCAGAACATGAGTGAATCTACAGCCAAATTAGAAATCTGGCTACCCACGTTATCCTTTGCTTGTGCTTCTACGCTCAGTGGACCAATGCTAGCCAGCAACAGTTTGCTCAGCAGATATTGATGTGGGTTCATTCCCAAAGGAATTAGAATGAACTGAAGTTTTATGAAACATCACAATGTCTGCTGGACAAATCAACGGTTGCTGAATTTCAGTCTTCACTTGCAGCATTGATATGCTGTGTTCAGCGCTACTTATTACCATTGTACAGCAATAGAATTGTACATTGTACAGCAATGGAATTCTGAAAAACCTGATAGGGAGATTCCATGACCTAAATTTCATTGATTTATTAAGAGTTGTTGTGACCCTTGATCCTGTAAAAACAGACCTTGATAATAACATCCCAAAAGGGTCAAAGGTAAAGGAAAACATTAACATGCCTTTTTAAATCAGCTGCAAAGCAAACAAGAGGAAAAAAAATGGAACCAGACAGGCCAATGCAACACACACCCACACGCCGATTACAAAACAGTTTCCATGGGACTGCATTACATATATTATATATTTCTCAGCTGTGAGCTGGCTTGGTGTAGCAGTTACACTGAGCTCTGAATCAGGACAGCCTCAAATCAGATCTCACATTTCCCACATGCTCATTTAGGTGGTCTAAGGCAAGCTGATCTTGGCTGTATGCAAATCAGGAAGAAAAGACATGTAAAAATAGTCCCACTAGTATCTTTCATGCACATGCTGCTGCAGCATGGTGTTGCCCCAAATGGGAAACAGTGACATTTGTGTTTCCTGGCCTAAATTCAGCGCCCATAGGGTAGGCTCTATGCAGTAGAGAAAATTGAAGGGGGAAACAATTAAAATTCCATAGTATCTAAACAACCAACCTAACAAGGAATTAAACAGATCAGAAAGTGTGGTCATGTGTGTAAATCAGTCACTTATGGAATTTCACAATCAATTTGTGAGCACATCAGGCAAACCTATGAACTGTCAGCAGCCTAACGAACTGGCCAATTGAAATCACAAGTACTTTCAAGGGACTTAATTACTGCAGGTTTGTAAATGGAAGAGTAATATTGTGCCACAAGTTCAGTGCATGTCCTTGGAGAGTAGGCATACCTCTTCAGTTCAGATGCATTTTATTTTCTTCAGGTTCACAATTTTAGTTATTAGATTATTACACAACAGAGCTCTTTCTGAGTTAATCTGAAAAACATGGAACGTTTAGGGCACTTTTCAAATGTTTTGCCTCCTCTGACTCACGAGTTTGGCACAGTTGGCACAGCTGAATGAGCAACAACAATCTATGATAGGACTTTTCTAAAGCAAGGTTTAATACAGTATACTTAAATATATTTCACTCTGATCCAGGCTAGAATGATCTTGTCATGTCAGGGAAGCTGAGGATGGTCAGCCCTGCCTTGTACTTGGGTGGGAGACCAAGGAAGTCCAGGGTGGCTACGCAGAGGCAAGCAAAGGCAAACCACCTCCGATGGTCTCTTTGCTTGAAAACCTTATGGGGCCACCACAAGTCAGCTCTGTTATATTTTCCATGATCCACAGAAAACGACTTCAATAATATTGTCCCATGTGCTACCCATATGATTAGTGCTTGAAGAACTGCAAATATCCCTTTACAGCAGGACTTCACAAAGCACCTTCTTGGATAAAGGTTAAACCTTAAACTCATAACATCTGCATGGGACAGTATCAGAGGTCATTTCGGGGGGGAACGCGGGGGAACACAGTTCCCCCGGGTGAGGTACGGGGGGGCACATGACGAAGCCCCGCCCCCTGCTTCCGGCCACCCCGCTTCCGGCCCTCATTCAGCCAGGAGGAGGCAGGAGAAGAGGGAGGGTAAGTTGCTTCCTCCCTGCCTCTCTCCACCCCTGCCTGCCTGGGGCCAGGGAGGGCCTTCGTGGGGCTTCCTTGCACTCCCGCCAGCCTTGCAGGTCCACCGCCCGGCCCTTCATGGGGCTCGGCAGTGGAGCTGCAAGGCCAGCGGTGGCGGCCGGGACCGTTGGGGGCGGGATGTGTGGCCTTATGACACATTTCCGGTGATGTCAGGGGGTGTGGCCTTATGACACACTTCCGGTGATCAGGGGGTGTGGCATATGCTAATGAGTTATGCTAATGAGTTCCCCTAGCTCTTTTTCTACAAAATGACCCCTGGACAGTATTATAACAATAGTTTGGTGGTGGTGGTGGGGACTGGGTTCTTAATATTTCTACAGTTCTTTTTTATTTCATGTTTTTAAATTATTAATATTTGTAGCTTTAGAATATTTTGGGACCAACCCTAATGGCAATTGGGCAAAGTTATGTGTAGCCATTCAGACAGAAACACAACAGTGCAACATTAGGAAGACAGGCAGACAGTGTCTGGCTTCCAGTAGGGGGAGGCAATGGTTCAATGTAAGCATTTTAAAGGATGCTGTCAAGGCTGCTGAAGGCTACCCGACTCCTTCTAAGACCTTTATTAGCTTTATGGATTCCTATTTGTAGGAATCCATAAATCTTCCTGCCAAACAGAGTGCCATCTAGATTTGCAGAGAGAAACTCCCTCAAGATGGGTTTTTGAGGACTTAAAGGTACTCATTGTTCCACCATCAACTTAGCTGTCTTACATGACAACCCCTTTAAAAAGGTAAAGGTTCCCTTGCTCGAAAGCCAGTCGAATTCGACTCTAGGGTTGCGGTGCCAATCTCCGTTTCAAAGCTGAAGAGCCAGCGCTGTCCGAAGACGTTTCCGTGGTCATGTGGCCGGCATGACTAAACACCAAGGCACGGAACGCTGTTACCTTCCCACCAAAGGGGTCCCTATTTATCTACTTGCAATTTCTTGCTTTCGAACTGCTAGGTTGGCAGGAGCTGGAACTAGAGACGGGAGCTTACTCCGTCTTGCGGCACCCGGGTCGACTGAACCACGGACCTTCCACAGCCTGCAGTTCAGCGACTTAACCACTTGAGCCACCGCAGCTCCTTTATGAGAGTCTAAAACATGGGAGTGTTCAGTCTTCCTCAGATCATCATGTTGCCCCCCCATGGCCTCTGCGCTCACATCTGATCAGCAGCTTTACTTTTAATTGCTTCTCTAAAGGGAACAGCAGTTTTCTACTGACATCCTTATAGCTTTGCTTCCAAATCTAGTATCCCCATGGTTTGGAAGCTGTTTGTGCTGAAACACAACAACTCTACAGTGAAAAATTAAGCTTATAAAGTCCAGGGTTAAGGCCCAGATCGTTTTGGGTCCCTTGTCCCAAACACTGGCAATCACATGCATGTGCCAAAAGACTGGTCCTCTCTCTCTCTCTCTCTCTCTTTTGCTGTATAGTGCTTTTAATAAAAGTATTTTTGTTTAAAATTCCAACCCATTATATCGATTGCTATTGCCCTTTGTAATATTCTTCATGGTTTTATTATTTTAAATTAAAATTTTAATTAAAATACTGTACACACATACCCTTTAAAATTCTCTCATTAACCATTAAGCTATAAAACTGCAAAATGCTTACTACTTTATTTGGAGCAAAAGATTTTTTAACTGTACATATTAAATCATAAATATTTTACATGCTTATCTATCCAATATGCCCCTCATGGCTGTTTAAGGCGCTCTCTCTTTTTGCAAAAGTGTTGGAGCCTTTCTTTGGGCAGAAAGTGAATGTCGCTTTAAACAATGACTTAAACCAGATTCTAGCCAGGTTCATGAAGCTTTGACAAATAAGTAGAATGATTTGTGCAATATTTGCTAAGAGGAAACTTTCAAGGGGACCCTAAAGTTTGATTTTATAGTGCTGGCAACAGCCCATCCAAAATGGTGCAATCCTATGCTTGTTTGATGATAAGCAAGCCCTATATTCAATACAATTCATTCTCAAGAATTGCAGACTGGACTGAAGAATGTTTGGTTTTCTTTGGGCAAGGAAAGGCATATGGGGGGGGGAGCTCCAGTTGTCCTGTTCAATTGCTGAGTTACTGAAGGAGTTTCCTTCCATTACTCTACTTAGAGTCAGAGGAAAGGCTAAAACACAGTTTCCTTTTGCTGTCATGCTGAGAGAGAAGTTGCTGCTGCGGCTAAGAAATTGTTGTGAGACTTGTACAACCACCTCCTCCTCTGGGCTTCTCCCACTTATGAAAAGAAAATGGAAGCATCATTCCTGTTTGAAAGGGGAGGAGCTAAAGTGTCCTGAGTGAAACAGACGTGTATAAAACCCACCCTGGATTCATTCTATTGTATGTTCTTCTGAACATAAGAACAAAACTGAGGCTTCAAAGGGACAGTATGCTAATTTATCGATTCTTTGGTAGCCCAAAATTTCTCCTTCTTAAGTTGGTGGGAAAGAATTCAAATAGAATCAAGATATGTTAAAAACAAACAAATAGGTTTTTATTCAAAAATAACAGAAATAGATAAGGTATTGTTGTATACTGATGAGAAATCGATTAAGAAATTATACGTAACAAGAGGGGACCTGCAACAAAACGTTGCTGGAGCCTGAGCCCTCTCCGGCATGGTTGAGGCAGGTGGGGCAGCTGGCTGGCTTTGATCGCTCCTCCCATGTACCGCTGCTCCTGCTGCCGGTACTGCTTTCTCCTCTCTCTCACCTAACAAAGTTGCAACTTAAAACAAAAAGGGGGGGAAAGCACGCAAGGCAAAAAAGCTGGCGGGGCAGCCCACCTAGCAGCCACTCAGTGCTCTGTTTGCGTGCCCACTGAGCTTAGCCATTCCACCAGTGCTGCTGCTC